TCGCTGAGTTGGAATTGACTCAATGGCAACAGGTTTTTTGGGTATTCCATGAATGTGGTCCCCTTCCTATCTGTCATATTGGTGAGCTATGTTTTTATTTCCACCTAGCTCCCATTGCTAAGAGCATGCTGGGAATGTCTCTTCTAAAATACCTTTGAAACAAGTCACAGGGAAAATCTTATTATCTTACCATTTTTGTCTCAAATGATCACTCACCCCATTTACTGAGCTTGGCTCTGAATAACTTTTGCTGAAGTGACACCCACTCTCAAATCCATTCTCACAAAGCAAGTATATGTTTCTAGATACCAGATACTCTGAGATTTTAGTATGCTTAAAAATCATCTAGGGGGCTTGATTAAATAATGCATTCCAGCTCCATCCTTAGGAATTCTGGCTCAGTTGGTCTGAGGTAGGAATCACAAATGTGCGCTCTTTAACAAGCATCCTGTTTTGAATGACTCCCAGTCCACACTTTGAGAAATGCAGCTGTAAGGATATTCAAGATAAGGGCGGTATATCTTAAGGCAGTTCCTAAGGAGGAACTCCAAAAATGTTCTGATCTACAGGAAAATCAGCACAGATTGCCTACCTCAGAGAACTAGTCTCACGAAGAGGATGCTTATTTAGAATTAAAAGTGTAATTGTTAAAAAAAAAAAAAATTAGTCACCATTCTGTATGGTCGTACTCTGTACTCCGAATTCACCATATGTATTTGTTTGCTCAATGATCTACTTGGTGCTTTCCCTCACTGAAGAGAGCTATTCCTTTCTGAACTGAGTAAATCATCTAAGGATCCAGTATTGGAGGATTCAATCATTTGTCTACAGATTACTACACTCCCTCTATTTTTTAAAAAGGGTGGGCTTCTTCATTTCTTGAAGTGGGGCACTAAATCCCAAGAGCAGGCATTGTAGATCCAGTTTCTCTAGCCCATGTCCACAATGACCAGGCTCACCATGATGGTGGTTGTCTGACTCCAGATGTTGTCCTGGGATAATCACAGTGGCAAGAAAGCCCCAGAACCAGCCTTCATTCATGTTGGAACATATCGCATGTTTAGTCCCTGTCTGAATCCACGTGATTGCCTAAATTATTCCTCTACTTTTGAATCAAGTTGACTGATCATAACAAATTATAATTTCCAATGAGAATGCAAGAACTTCTGAGCTGCTTTACTTTTTATTTATTAACCGTCCTCTCTCTCATGCACATTCATGGGTGTCACTAAAGAGATTCTCATACATTAGGAAACTGAAAATCAGTGCTTCAGCTTCTTTGAGAAAAGAAACCCGCATTTCACAGGTGAGTCCCAGCTGCCATCAGTCGCTGACATGGAGCCGAGCCTAGAGAGTGAGCCAGGTTCTTTAAGGCACTGCTGGGTCACAGCATACAGGTTACATCTCTCTAGGCAAGTCTCTTGTCCCCAGGAGCCCTGACAGTGGGCCACCTCTGTTTTGTCTGGATCTGAGGATTCAATATTATCCAACCTGAAAAAATATGATGTTCTATGATCATTTTAGAGTCATTTAACAAAAAATAAGGAGCCCTGGTGGCGCAGTGGTTAAAGCGACCAACTGCTAACTGAAAAGTCGTCTAGTCAAGACCACCAGTGGCTCCTCGGACAAAGATATGGCAGTCTGCTTCTATAGAGATTTACAGCCTTGGAAACCCTATGGAGTTACTATGAGTCGGAATAGATTCGACTGGCAGTGGGTTGGGTAGCACAGTGGTTAAAGAGCTTGGCTGCTAATCAAAAGGTCTGTGGTTCAAACCCACCAGCTGCTCCATGGGAGAATGACGTGGCAGTCATTTCCACAAAGATTACAGCCTTGGAAACCCTCTGGGGCAGTTCTACTCTGTCCTATAAGTTCACTATGACTCAGAACCACCTTGACGTCAGCGGGTAACTTAAAATGAAAATGAAGCTCCTCACTAAAATTTCAAAGTTTAGTGGAATATAGAGGTATAGAGATACAGACTATGTTTAGACTTCTACAAGAAAAAAAATTTAGGAAAAGGAAGAGTTTTGTTTTTGTTTTTTAATCCCAGCATTTCTCTCCCAATCTAACAAGGAGCTATGTTTTCTTTAAGAGCGATAGAGAGGGAAGAGAGATTTAATCAGACAGCTATCAAAACAGCCCCCTCCAGGGGGCGCAGTGATTAAATGGCCGACTATATCCTTGGTCTTTGCTCCCTCTTACTTCCATCTTTCATTTTCCCTATTCAGGGTTGCCAGACTCAGTAAAAAAGGAAACAAAAACAGGATGTCTAGTTGAATTTGAATTTCAGATAAACAATGAATATTTTAGTATGTTTTCCATGCAATATTTGTGCTCTCTTCCACGGCCCTATTCCAGATATAGTCTGTACCACACAATTCAGTGCTCCTGTTTTATTTTCTAGACATTTCTATACGTGGAAAACTTGTCCCTCAGTTGATCAAACTCTCCTCTGGGCAGGATTTTATTTGGTATCCCTCAAGGCACCATAAATATTGGCATCCTTACTTGGGGGTTATGTTAGATTTTTCCTTAAGTATTTCCCTCCTGCTGCAAGCATAGAAGGTCCCTGGGTGGCGCAGATGGCTTGTGCTCGACTATTAGCCTTAAGGTTAGCTGTTCAAACCCACTCAGAGGCAGTGTGGAAGAAAGGACTGACAACATGCTTTCGTAAAGACAGCAGCCAAGAAAACCCTATGGAGCAGCTCTACTCTGTAACACATGGAGTCACCATTAGTTGGAACTGACTTGATGGCAACATGATTGGCTTGGTTTTGGTTTGCAAGTGGAGAACACCATGGAACTCCCCATACCTTTCCACTGTTGCTCCTGTGAGGTCATTACTTCATGAAACAGTAAAAGGGCTGAGCACGGAGCCGAACATATAAGTATACCATATATTTTGATGATTGGTCGATGAACTAAAAGCAATCTGTTGTCTGTTAAGAGACAATTAAATTCAACATTTATTAAATACTTGCCTGCGTGCCAGGAGTTAGTAGTAGGCTCTGTCTACCAGGCTAACAGTCTAGAAAGTTAGATTAGTTACTCTTCCCTTTTGGGAAAATAAGATAGGGGAAGGAAACTAGATTGGGAGCTACACCCAGGTTTTGCAAACTTGTGCTTGGCTAAAAAGATGGAAATAAGAATATCCTTATAGAGAATCAAGGGGTCCTGGTGGTACAATGGTTAAACACTCAGCTACTAACCCAAAGGTCAGCAGTTGGAACCCACCAGCCACTCCATGGCAAAAAGGTGCGGCAGTCAGCTTCCATAAAGATTACAGCCTTGGAAACCCTATGGGGCCGTTCTACTATGTCCTATAGGGTCGCTATGAGTCAGAATCAGCTCGACGGCAACAAATTTGGCCTTTTGTTTTTTTTGTAGAGAATCATTTGAAAATTTGGAGTATTAGCTGTCAAAGAATGGAGAGATATCCTGCCCGTTATACATTGTGTACTTCCATTGACTTTTCTATTTTTAAATTCTTTTATGGTATGTTGATGTTGCAGTCACATATCAACAGTAACATAAAAGTAATGAAGAACTTTGAAAAGCAATAGAATGATATAAATGGCAAAATGTTGAATTCCTATTAAAAAACTTACCAGCATGTGGAGTGATGGAACACGTCATCAATAAAAAGGAATTCAGATAAGAATGTCCCTTTTTACACACTTTCTGCTTCTATTAATGATATTATTTAGCTCTTCCTTGATAAATGACACTCTGCAAGTTTCAAACCTTGAAGGTTGAGTTATAAATGCCTCCTCTTGGTTCAGTGCTCTTCAAGTGTAAAATGCACAGAACAGTGAGCACATATTTAGAAGTGTCTAGATGATGACTTTTATGCCAGTTGGATTGGTTCTAGGCAGGATTGTGAGTGTGGTCCTCAGAGCCCCGGCTTCCCCTGTCTGTACCTCTTCCCCTAGTTTACAGTGATCTACTGCATGCTCAGGTGCACTGCACCCTTTGGAGGATGTGGGTAGATCAGTGGACTGCCCAGTAGCTTGAAATCCCAACATTGTACCTACCTGTGAGCCCAGCTGATAAGTTATTTTCCTTAAAAAAAAAAAAAAAACGCCTATTTGTAGACAAAAATGACTGCAAACGACACAGCTGCCAGACAAATATTCTACTCTAGTAAATAAATATACCATCTCAGTTGTAACTATCAACAAAAATTCATAACATAATGTGGCCCTACTTTATTGTGAATGTTCCTGCAGTAGTATTAGAAGAACAAAAGCTGAACATGAGAATTCCTGTTAATTTCTCACCAACTCCAACACCATAAACATAAGACAACAAACTTTTTATGAAGTAGATTATCATACATGTGATAAAAATCCAATGTGATAACCCCAAGATTGAGGCAGTGATTGAAAAACCTTTTCTGGAATGTTAAGTGATTTTGAGTCAAGTCATAAATCTTGTCCTTTCTATCATATACCTCTGATGTCAAATGAATTTCAGCCAATTAACCATTTGTTGAAAAAATAAGAATATTAGAGTATTGATTTTATTTAGAGAGAGACCAAATTAAACTTGTTTTATTTTTTAATCTAGGTGCTCTATATTTTTATTATAAATGCATGATGAAACAATTAGATGAAGATTAAAATAAATGTTTATATTTTATTCATGCTGGAAATATGTGTTTTGTCCTTGAGAATGAAACCTTATAGTATCTTTATAAATTTCTTAACATGAAAATAAGCTTCACTTTGCCTCATTTGAAAATTGTTTTTATTTGGCAGTTGAGGTTGGATGAGGAATGAGCCTAATGATTAGAGAAATGTGGAGATTCTAGGTCAATCCTACCCAAGACAGTAGAATGTGTTGGTTAACTATAGCTTCCTGGATCTCTGATTTGGGAAATAAAGGCTGTAATAAAATTACAACCAGAACTCTAGCTCTATTCATTTGAATAATATTTTTATCTAGCTGATTTGAATTCAAATGCATTATTAATATTTTTCTTCTTTTTAATATAGGTGGAAAACAGACCAAAATATTATGGAAGAGAGTATGTATTATGCTATTCTTTGTTTTAATAATTTAATAAGTAGTTACTTCATGTGTCATTTAAAATTAAATATTAAAAATTCTCTAATATATGGTCTTCATCAAATGTCCATTATGCCAGAGTTTAACCATACGAATAAATGCAATCAGACGCCTTTGTATTGACTTTTCTTTATAATACTCAGGTGCTTGGTTTCCGTTCACGTGGGAGGGAAACTGTCTCATACCACAGTTCCCTCAACAAAAGCAGCTTGGAAACTATTTGAAATGTAAAGTAGCATTTTCCATAGTTGAGGCTCTGTTGGTATTTTACTTTACTTTCCACCTAAAACAATATAAAAATTTGGGGTGTCAAATTACTGACTCTACCTCAGTAAACACAGTACTTGGAAAAGACATCCCCTTTCTGTGCAGTTCCAGAAAACCAAAATGATGATTTCCCTTGACTTGATTATATTAGCCAAATTACCTTAATACCATAATTATTATTTCCCCCATTTTCCTCTTAAGCGCAACTCTAGTTTTGTCTTACTTCCTCAGAAACCTACTACAAAGCGAATATGCCTGACCATAAAAATAATTCACAATATAAGACTGTGGCGTGGAGAATGGTTCACAGAAGGCAGGCAGAACCTTCCAGAGGGAGAGGAAATGCATAAATTGCTTTCCTTCCCTTGGTCAACCTGGAGGCGTTATGAAGCAAAGTCTCTTTCAAGTCCACCTCCCAAGCTCTCCTGGCCAATCCAAAACCTTCTTCCTCTTATTACCTTACCCATCAGAGCCTCGCCTTTGTGATTAATGGCCCTCTTATTTATCCCAGCCTGGCAGCTCCTTCCTAATTGCCATGGCTGCATTCCTGGACCTTCCTTGCTGGGCCTTGGGAGTTCAGCTGGAGCCTTTAGAATGCTTGCGTTACAATGCCACCTCTCTTAGTCCATCCCCATGTCCCCGATGTCTAGCCTTCACTGTAGCATGACTTTTTCTGCTTAATACACTGATTTGGATTTTGTTTACAGACAGCACAATTAATAAAACAGGGAAAATGAAAACCCACCCTGTACTCTCAAAGGGACCATTTTTTTTATACATGAATTCCAGAAGGAATTTTATTTATTGTGCATTTTTTTTGCATTAAAGTTTTATTGAATAAACCTTCCAGTTTGCATCCTCCAACCCCTAAACCACATAAAATATGGAGTCAGAGGAGACCAAGGAATGTTTTCTTAACCACAAAAAAAAAGAGCAATTTATATTAAAGGAAAATTAACTGAAAACCTCCAGATTCCCTTCCTTTTCTTTTTTTTTTTTTAAATGAGGTTTTTTTTGTTGGTTGGTTGGTTGGTTGGCTTGTTCTATTCAAAAAGTAATACATGCTATATTCAGGAAATGCATATGCATATTTTTTCCTAGAAGATATTATAAGACAATGTTGACAATGGATACCTTTAAGAAGAGGGAATTATTTTTGTACTGTTTACATTTTTATTATTTCTTTTGTACGTTTCAATTTTTGGATTTTCAATTTTCCCATTGTGTATATGTATTCATTTTATTTTTAAAAATTTAATTAATAAACACATGCTAATTTGGGAAAATTAGAAAATACAGGAAAATTCAGGGTGGAAGCCCCCATAGTCCCACTATGAAAGAGCATCATCCTTGACTTTTTTCCCTTCATCTATTTCCCTCCAGTCTTTTGTCTGTGCACACTTTCTTTTTACACAGTTTTGATCATAAGATACATACATCTTAAATGTTTAGACTTTTTAAAACCATGCATTAAGAGATAATGTCCCACCAACTAGGTCTTCAGGTGCACAAAATTGTGATTTTCTTCTTTTGTATAATTGAATTTAACTGAATTCTTGACCCTCTGTTTCTGCTGCTGGCTATTACTTAAAATGCCATTTCGAGGGATTTAAAATTTAGTCACTTTCAGGTTAACTGCTTGTTTGGGATACTCCTCTTCCTCTTCCCCCTGCCTTTGTCCCCGGGAGTGAGCTGTGGCAGGGGCATCAAGTCCCTATGCCTTCTCTGAGTCTGTCTCCCTGACATCTATGAAGTGTGCTTTAACCCTGCCTTGGTCTTCCCCTGCCCTGGCCTGGCCTGGCCCACAGCCAGGTGGTATCCTGAGCCTCCCGGTCTCAAGCTGCTTCTGGCACCAGCTTTCATCCTTTCTGACTCCCAGGTGGGAGCTTTCTGGCTTTCTGATGTCTTCTGCATTCCCTACTCCCCGACACGTCCCTCCCTCCCACCACACACACACACACTCACACACACACACACACACTCACATATTCACACTCACACATTCAGACACTCTCACACACATGCACTCATGCACATTCACACACACATACAGACACTCACACTCTCAGGGCCCAGTCTGTCTGTCCAGACCCTTTATCCAGCCCTCTCCTGCCCTACCCTCAAGCACACAGGAGGCTCCTCTACACAGTTCACAGGGTCCACTGGCCACACTCAGAAACAAAGCCCCAAAGACTTCTGCTCCAGAATCCCCATAAACTGATCTACCGGTCCCAGCACCACACCTGATGCTGTGTGGGGTCCACTCAGGCCCACTGTGTCTGGGCTGCATCCAAAAGCCCGCCAAATCTCCCCCCTCAGGAACTGGAGACCCTGGCTCCTTTTGGAGCTCTTATTTCACGGCACATTCATCCTCACTCTAGAAAAGTGTTGCTCCAAGACCTCCAGACTTTAGCTCTCAACATTTAAAACCCAGATTTGGGAAGCCAGAGAAACCATTTTCTCCGAAGCTATCACTGCCTTAGACTTTTAAGAGCCGATTTTGAAAGTCAAAGCCACAGCTTTTTCTGGCCTCCCTCCTCTAAGACAAAACTTCAGTTTTCAAGATCTGTTTTTAAGGCTACAAGGGAATTAGAAAATAAATATTGCGGTATATTTTTTCAAAATATCATCCTGCTGCATTTCTCCTCTAATCTAATCTTTGCATTCCTGGGAGGGGCAAAAATAAAAAAACCTTTTTGTCTAGCTGACCTCGTTTCCCTCCTTCCGAGAAGGTGAAGAGGTTATTTTCTGTCCGGAAATTTTTTTCTTATTTATTCCCCTAAGCTCTCCAAGATTGTATAGGTAATCTTAGAAAGGGGGTATCGCTCCCTCTTCCGGGAGCTTCAGCATCAGCCTCAGATCCTCCACCTCCCTTTGAAGTACTGATCGACCAGTCTCCAGGAATGGGGCTGGGTAGCTGTCTTTGCTTGAAGGCCAGCAGGGAAAGTGAGCTGGTTCCCTGACCCAAACTCTCTCACTTCACCGTCTTCCTCCTGGACGTCCCTGTCCACTCTCCAGGCCTCAGCCATCCACTGTCCAAGCAAAATGGCCATGGGCCAAGCTTGCGATCCCCCAGGACATGCTGTTTTCTACATGTGAGTGAGTATTACTTTTATTGGAGAAAAAGAAAATAAACTATGTTGAAAAAAGCAAAATAGGTACATTTTTCAGACATATCCCTAAGCTATTGGAAACCCTGGTGGCGTAGTGATTAAGTGTACGGCTGCTAACCAAAAGGGGGGCAGTTTGAATCCACCAGGTGCTCCCTGGAAACCCTCTGGGGCAGTTCTACTCTGTCCTATAGGGTCACTATGAGTTGGAATCAACTCAATGGCACCCGGAGGTGGGGGGTGGGGGGGAGGATTGCGCTCAAAATTTAAAGAAATGGAAGAAAGTTGATTATTATTGTTATTATTATTCCTGGAGAATGAGCCTCTAAAAATAAAAACACCCTGCACCTTAAGTAAGCAGGTTGGTAATCAATATACATTCATTTGCAATCAGGATAATATCTAGTTCTCTGTGTATGAGCTGAGAGCTAAATTGCTAATTGCTCTTTTGTTAAAAAGGGAACTATTACCCACCTTTTTGTGTCGACTTTAATTTTTAGCATGAGAGCAAAGACAATAGCAGAAAGCTAGGTGGACTGGGTGTTCTTCCTTTCAGCTTCCTATTTGAACACTTACTATCTGTTTAGGAGTATGCTGAGAGATGGTTGCATGTCCATATTCAAGACATGCAGTAGTCACCACTCTCTTCGTCCCGTTGGGGGCAGTAGATGCTGCGGCCCTGCCATTTCACCTAGGTTTTTCTAGTCCATACTTTTGAGAGACTCAATACACAAATGGAGAGTGGCCAGGCCATCCATGACAATAGAACTCTGGCCACAACCTCTGCCCCTGCCAAAGGTCTCCAATCAGGGCACACCAGAAGCCTTCCCTTTTCCTACTGTAAAGCTTTCCTACTCCCCTGCCTCCCCTTGACACTCTGCCAAATGCAAGTGATGGTGGCTGACTCCCTTGCTATAGCAAGCTCTGAATGAATAGACTTTCCTATTCTCTTATGAGTGGTCTTCTTTTATCTCCACACTGTTTATACGGTTTGTTCAGAGAACTATGGTATTATCTCCCCTCAGGTTCCACGGGATCATCTCTCGGGAGAAGGCTGACGAGCTTCTCGGAGGCGTGGAGGGTGCATACATTCTTAGAGAAAGCCAGCGGCAGCCAGGATGTTACACCTTAGCTCTGCGGTGAGCTAGCTTTCTTTCCTTGTCTTAATTGCTTTACTAGTAACTTTGCTTATTTTTTATTTTCACTTTGTTTACAAAGCACCAGCTGCATATCAGGGGCTGTATACGTATTTTCACCAACAGATGTCTGTGTGGAGCCTGAGGCTGTATTCCTGGACACAGAGTAAACTGGAGAGTTAGCTGGAAAGTCAGTGTTCTATTAACTGTCTCTGCCTGAAACATGGAGTTAATTGAGGGAGAAACATCTCTGGCTCAGTTAATTCCCAGCAGCCTTGTCGAAGTTCTTCACTTCATGTTGTGTATGCCTGGAAAGACGAGCAGTTTGTGCACAGGGTCTTCTCAGGGATCACTTTGACCCAAAGAACTTGACAGTCACAACTCTCCATGCCAGTGGGCCATCAGAGAAGCGTTCTCCCAAGCCTTTTAGCACAAAATCGCAAGTATAGGAAATCACAATATCCAAAAGCATTTACTACACTTCCCTAACCTTGATCAATTATGTGATTTCATTTGGACCTCACGACAATCCTGTGAGGGTTGGTGAAGATATCTAATTTCAGAGTCGAATCATCTTCCAAAATTTCACTTGGGAATCCAGAAATTCATTTGGAATTGGGAAGACTTTTCTCCATAGAAGGAATGATATAAATGGAAACTTCCCAGGCCGGCCCACAAAGGTGTGTTCAATGTACTATCTCGATATTGGGACAGTGGAAAGATACTTTCCAAGTTGCAACTGGGCATATATAGAACACATCTTACATGATATAATTACGAAATAGTATTTCAAAAGCTATCAAGTGCTCTGGGTATGCAAAGCATTTTCCTGTCTCCCAGTGCTCCCGCAGCAGGCACTGGTGGTCCCAGCAGGGAGCCATGCAGGGCTGTGAGAAGTAGGACCAGGGTGGAGAGGGGAGAGCCAGCGCCTAAATGGGGGGACCCTAGAGGTTAAGTTGCTGGGACTTGAAATGGCAGCTCAAGCGGGAAGCTTAGTACACCTCCTCCCCTTTCGCCCCCTGCAGCTGCATCAGCTGGGTCGGAGGCGTGGGGTGCTCTGCTGATGGTGATCAGGAGCAGTGGTGCTAAGATACTCGCCAGGTACAGGGCAGAGGGCAGACGGGGCTGGCTAGTTCCCATAAGGAAGTTTATAAGCAAAAACAAAAACAAACAAACACATTGTCATTCAGTCAATTTTGACTCATAGCGATCCTATAGGACAGAGTAGAACTGCCCCATAGGGTTTCCAAGGAGCAGCTCGTTGATTTGAACAGCTTACCTTTTGGTTAGAAACCAAACTGTTAACCACTGCACCACCAGGGCTCCGGTTTATAAACAAGGTGTTTGTAGATTAAACTCTACCCTTCTGGCTATTCTCATTTTACAAGTGAGAATGATAATAACCCAATGGCCTTAGGGATTGCTAGGATCAAATAATTGTTATCAAATAACCATAAGGCTGCCTGGGGTCAAATCCCACCTCTGCCTCTTTCCAGGAGTGTAACGTGAAGCAGGTACCCCCATCTCTTCAAACCTCAGCTCCCCAGCTGTAAAACAGGGATAATAATAATAAGACTCCTCTCAAATGGTCTCTAGGATAAATAAATGAAAAATAAGCATAAAAACAACATGTAAAGTACTTGGCCCAGTGCCTGACATCCAGGACATGCTGCCTGTTATTGTTATTAAAAATGATTATTTCTAGCACTATTACAATCTCTCCTTCTTTCTGAAGCAGGTTTGGGAACCAGACCCTAAACTACAGGCTCTTCTACGATGGGAAACACTTTGTGGGAGAGAAGAGGTTTGAATCAATTCATGATCTGGTAACAGATGGCTTGATAACACTGTACATAGAAACAAAGGCTTCTGAATACATTTCAAAAATGACAACGAACCCCATTTATGAACACATTGGATATGCCACTTTACTCAGAGAAAAAGTATCCAGAAGGCTGAGCAGGTCGAAACACGAATCAAGGAAAACAAGCGTCACAAATGAGGAACACACAGCGGTAGAAAAGGTAAGCCACTTGTATGCACGAAACCGTCTTTCTATTTTTGATCCCTGGTTAATAACCATGTGATTAATTCCGTGTGTGATTTGCGGAAATGTTGGAGAAGACCCACCCCACCCAAAGAACTCTAGAATTTTAGTGCTAAAACAGACCTTAGAAATCTTCCAGTTCAACCCCCTCATTTTACAGATGAGGAAACCAAGGCCCAGAAACATTCAGTGATTTGTCCAGAGTCATACAGTCAGATGGTAGCAGAGCCAAGACTTCAACAAGTAATTATCCTGATATTTAAGGTTTGATTTGGCGTTTAGGGAAAAAATTCCATTAGTATTTGGAAAGAGTCACTGGACATTAATTACTATTTGAAGCATTACTGGCTCCATCTACAGTTCCACCCAACTAGCCAACTACATAGGATTTGTATTGGCTTCTTTTAGGACTAGGTGACCATCCATGATTCCATAGATCAGCCGTCTTTTGCAGTTTGGTCTCACCCAGATAAAAGATTCTACTAACAGATACGGGAGCATTAGTGGTGATACCGGCTTAATAGATAGTGGGGAGTTATCTGGGAAGCTTAGAAAGACAGGCTGCCCTTGGGCCCCAGATGGAGAGTGATTATGCCTTACCGAGGATTAGAGAATCCGTAAGTAGGTAAGTGTGGGAGATGGATGGGTCGTTGCAAGATGTGCTGATGGAGGTCTGATTTTCCTCTCCAGGAAGTTGCTGACTATTTGAAAGGCATGCCCACAATTTGCTAGCAGATTTTTTTGGATGTGCCCTTTTAGTAACCATCTGGTTTGCCTGGCCCTATCTGCCTTCCACTGAAAGAAAGTGACAGCCAACCACACCGTTCAGCCCCCACAATGAGCCCATGCTGAGCTCAGCTTCTAAAGCAAGCTAGGACTGGGGACAGACATAAATAAGCAGCCGGAATGGCTAGCACTGCTCCTTCTGAGTGGTTGCTAATCCTTAATTAAGCTGGAATGCCCCCTCCTGACCCCCACACACATGCACACATCCATCGTCCACTGTTAGTGGAAAAGCAAAGGAGCCTCAGGTGGATGGACGTGTTTGTCATCCGTGGTGGGGATACGCGGGAAAGCACTCAAGTGGGGAGTAGGGCGGAGGTGGCAATGTGGTCCTGTTGGCAAGGGAGGGAGAAGATCTTAATTGATTTGCTAATTGAGCTTTAGAGCCTAGAAGAACCGTCCCCAGAATCACATCAGTTGAGCAACTGGCCCATGAAAAAATAATTTGCCATTTTCTTTTTATAACTCCAGTGCCTCTGAAACACCTGTTTATTCTTTTTCAAAGAATTGAGTTGGGTAATAGTGGGGATTCTGATTGTTTATGTTTAAACAGCAGAGAGAGAGAGGACTTTCGTCCCAACTTTCAGAGGTTGTTCAGGTCCAGACGGAAGCCGTCCCTCAGTCTGTTTACAAAATCTGTTCAAAAGTAATTTAGAATAGAAAATCTGGAAGCTGACCTTCCCAGCCATGACAAATCAGAAGATGAATTGTAAAATAAATCTCTGAAACGGTGTTTATATTTTTGAATCAGAGAGCAGTGCCACCAGAAAGGCAATCTGTTACAGACCGCAGGCTGCACAATAGAACATTTCAAGGCAAAGAGATGAGAAGAAAGAGTGTCCTCGTCTGGGTATGGGATGAGAGTTTAGATCCTGGGTATCAGAATTGATATTTCTCGATCCTTGTCTTCCCCCAGAGGGAAATTTAGACAATAGAAACAGATATTTCTGGAAACTTGTGAAACAGAATGCATTCTTTCCTATAGGTCATTTTTATTTATAAAAATTAAATTTTAGAGGAAATGAATAATCGGATTAACAGTCACTTTAAATGAGCCACTCAGAGCATTTTTCTCTTTTTGGAAAAAGGTAAATACATAAAATATTGAAGGATGAAGTCCAAGCTCAGTGAATGGTTTTGATGGACAGGTGTTGGTGGCATGGGCTCTCGCAGACACTAATGATAGGATGTTTAGCTTTCCTGGGGGACACTGAATGCTGGGCCTGTTCACTAGCTGGGGGCCACTCATTTTGTTACTAGGTTTGTTAGGTAACTTGGTACCTATCCATCCATTTCCTTCTGACTTGTATTGACAAGTAGAATTATTAAAAGTCTGAGTCTTGGCAGAGATTCTGTTTCCCTTAAGGGCAGGTCAGTGGACTGTTGCCACAGAGGCAGGGACTAGAAAAGAGGTGGCAGAAACTTGAATGGAATGACTGAGAATGGCCGGGAGTGTCTGTCTGCTTCAGTAATGGCACATCTTGAAGGTTGTAATCAGTGAGATGGGTAGGTTTCCTAATACTTCTCAAATCCATGCCAATCAGCATTTTATTTTCCAGAGTACTTAAATTTTGTTCACCCATTTGGTGTATTGATCATTTCCAGATGAGTCCAGAGAGACTATGTTACCTTTGAATCCAAGAATATTAACATTGTTAATTGACAAAAAGATACTACCTACCCTATCAGGTTTGAGTGGTTTCCAGATTTATCTCCTGTCAAGACTGTTAGCAGTGAACTTGGTTTTAATAACTGGAGATGAGGCGGAGAGATGGAAAGGGTGACAAAAAAAAAAAAAACACAGTTGTGGGAGTTGAGCCAGTAGGGATGTTTCCTTTCTGATTATTCATCTGATTGATTTAAAAACATTCTGATATGCAAGGGCCACCATTTGATGTGTTTAATTAAAATGGTCATGCCTAGTGTAATTTTTTTTATGAAACATATTTCAAAATTTATTCCATAGACAGATTATCTACTGACCTTCAGAAATGGCGCTGGAAGCAAAGTAAGATAACAACACTATTTAACTTTGGCACAGACATTTATATTCATGAAGGGGGTTTCACATGTGTGAAATGATTTCCAGTTTTATCATCACAACAACTTTGCAAAGTCCATGGGGGAGGAATCATCCTCCCTACTTTATTGAAAGGATCACAAGGGCAGAGTTAGGACTCAAACCAGGACTTCCTATGTCCAAGTTCAAGTTCATAAGTTTTCAAATCTACTAAGCAGCTGGAACTAGCTCTGCCCTTCACAAATAGCCTAATTGCTTCAAGTAAACACTGTTGGTTTTGACCATCCTAAGTCAACTGATGCTAAAAATCACTCAACATTTACACGATCTGTTTTAGAAAACACACTGCTGCTACTAGTTAGAATAAACTTTCTTATAAAGTAGACCCTACTTAATCAAAGATATATAGCAACAATGGTTTCAATGCCACATTTTTATTAAATATATCTGGTTTGTCATATTAAGTTGCATTTATGTTTTACTAAGGAAAAAATCATCTATACTCTTGATGTAATAAAAGCACATTTAAAAAATATATTATATTTTACCAGTTTATTCATTTCACTATTTTTATAGTAGCAAAAGTTAGAAAGCAACCCAAATGGCTATCAGACGGGAACTGCTTAAATACATTATGGTGCATCCATGCAAAGGAATATTATGCAACCACAGAAAAGAATGATAACATTCCATATGGGCTGACATGGAAATATCTCCGGAGTTATTAAACGAAAAAAAGCAATTTGCAATATAATATGTATAGTACTGTGTCATTTATGTAAAACAAAAGAAAAGAGATTTTATCTATGTTTTTTCTTCCAAAATCATTAAATATCCCCTGAAGGATACAAGAACTAGTGTCAGCCTGTGGGGAGAAGTGGGTGCCTAAGGGGTAAGTGTGCTAAGGAAAGTTTTCCCTGTTACTATTTCATACGCTCTGATTTTTGAACTGTGAGCAGTGCATTATGCTATTCAAAAAAATTAAATAAGAAAAAAGAATACCTTAGGTCTTAAATTTCCATATTTTAAAGCAAACCTCAGAGTAAAACATCTTCTGTACTCAATGTATCACACACAGAGACACACACAGACACACACACACACACCAGTTCCAAATATTCATGTATATATGATGGTCTACTTCACCTGGTTTTAATATTGCCATTTTAAATGGGCAGTTCCTGACACTCTCGCTATTTAGGAAGAGCTTTGACAAGCATCACACTGATTTACTGTGCCTTAAACAAACAAACAAACCCATTACCCTTGAGTCAATTTCAATTCATGGTGACTCTGTGTGTTACAGAATAGAACTGCTTCGTAGGGTTTTCTTTGCTGTAATCTTTACAGGAGCAGATTGCCAGGCCTTTCTTCCATGGTGCCCCTGGGTGGGGTCAGACAGCTAACCTTTAGGTAGCTGAGTGCCATCCAAGGAGTAAGTGAAACATAAAAGTCCCCAGTCCCCTCACCTTTGGTGTCATTCCTCGTATCCCAGCATCTCTGGGGACAGAGGAGGCCAACACCTCCCTTGAGTCAGTCTGGGCAGGAACCTGGCCACTCCCCCATGCTGCTAACACCCTTTTTCTTTCATTTCTCCATGGTATCCTTAACAAAGAGTCTGGGCTTCGCAGCCTTTAACTACAGTTTGGGGTGGTTGTTAGCTGCCATTGAGTTGGCCCTGACTCACAATGACCCCATGCACAATGGACCAAACACTGCCCGGTCCTGTGCCATCCCCATGATCAGCTGTGGATTGGACGGTTGTGATCCGTAGGCTTTTCATTGGCTGATTTTTGGAAGTAGATTGCCAGGCCTTTATTCCTAGTCTTTCTTAATCTAGAAGCTCTGCTGAAACCTGCTCATCATCATAGCAGCAGGCAAGCCTCCACTGACAGACAGGTGGTGGCTGGGCATGAAGTTCATCGGTCAGAAGTTGAACCTGGGTCTTCCGCATGGAAGGCGAAAATTCCACGACTGAACCACCTGCCCCTTAAAGGTTAGGCCTAGAAGAGGATAATCATAGCACAGGGCAGCCCTGCGCAGAAAGCGAAGGACACAGCTGAGGAGAGGTGCTGTCTGTCGGGCTGCCCCCCAAGAAGCTGAGTGCAGCAGCAGAGTGCAGGGAGAAGGTGAGTTGCGAGGCTATGACGAGACTCCGGAGGTGATGGGGACCA